CCCAAGCAGGCTATGTATTTATCACAGTTGTGCAAAAAATGATGTCATGTCCTACCTGCCATCCTATATACAGGTGCATTGCTCCAATGACTAGGAGTATGAGTTCACCTCCTTCTGCATAAGCCTGACCAGTGTTCAATGGGATGAAGTCAATTTGGGAAGCTGTTGTTTAGTGATTCCTGTGCAAGCTGCATCATACATGTAAAAAGAAATCAAGGCTGAGGGTCTTAGATGTTGACAGTGGTCATTTATCTCTGAGCCAAACTGCTATTAAATGATTCAATCTAGAAGAGTCAAAATTTCAACATTCTATTCTGTCACTTTCTACTCAACATCTTTTCCTATTCATTGTCTGTTTTCTTGTGAAATTACCCATTTTCTTTTACTGTTAGAAAGAGAGAAAGAGAATTTTATTTTTGCCATAATACCCCAACACATGTGTGCACTTCAACCAGCATGCTTTACTGCTTAGACTTGGGAATGATCCAGTCTGGCGATATGCTTGTCATGTGTATTTATACACACAAGCTCACTCTGCTGGCAACTTGCCAGCCTTTGGCCGCTTGCGTATGTTTCCCCCTTTCTACCTAGTTTGAAGGTTTCTATTATCCTATGACTATTAGCTGTACTACTTCATGGGGTATAGGGGAAAGTGAAGGCGTATTGCTTACGAATCAACACTTTTTTACTATACCTTCCTTTTTTTGGGTAAATTATACAGAATTTATTCACAGAAAGGAGTTCAGAAATCATTGTTCTAGCAGAAGGTAGAAAATTGGTTATGTGTCATTGTGAAATAACCTTAGTTTATTAAGCAAATGTGTTTTATGCTGACTGGTGTCAGGTTAATCTTTGTAAGGTATAGTTCCTTTTAAATGGTAGTAAGTTAAACATGTCTCCATTAGACAAAATGTCTAACTTGTTTTCCTAATTCAGTTTTGTAAAGAGAAATTTTAAGTCTCACTCACTTCCAAAACAGATAAAAGATACTCTGGTGTTTTCATGCCTGACCAACTTTTCCTACATCTATCAGTCAGCTAAATTATGCACCTCATTTTAGGAATCTTCCCTGACTTACTCAGGCTAAGTATATGCCCCATCTCCATTTTCTCCTCTCTTCCTACTAGAAATATGTTTAACAAAAGTCCTCTTAATTACAGTATTAGAAATGGTAAGTCCCTATATCCTGATTCATTATTATATTATTGTACTTCGTATAAATTCAGGAATGATCTCATTTTATCTTTACTTACCCAATGTCTGATACAATTACAGTCATATGGCAGGTGTTTTACTACATGCTTTGGAACAGATGGATGGGTAGATGCATAAGTTTAAGAGTATCTTTATGCTTAAAGTTTGATTTTAATACCATGATGATTCCTGGTGTTGCACTACTAGAACCTGCTGGTAGTGTAGTAACACACACTGTGAAACCAAATTGTCTCTCAATCCCTGCATTGTCAAATCAAGTTCTGGTACTATAAGCAAGATACTTAACCTCTGTGCCTCAGTCTCTTATAAAGCAGCAGTTTTGATAATTTAACACGTGCTGATTTGAAAAAATAAATAAAATTTTAAAATACCATCAGGTATATTAGGAGGATTATATATACTTAATGCAAATATATTCAACATAATTAATTATGTAAATGACATTATATACATATATGCATGCATATTACTTACTTGGAGCAGTATTTCCTGCCTAGTAATCTACAGTTTTTCTCAAATTATTGTGCAAGTCAAAAAAGAGAAGTAAAGTCCTACCATGCGGCACGATTTTCTACAGACTTCTTGAAAACTATGTTTTGATAAACACAGAAGATGAATGGAGACTTAATTATGCTTGACAAATTCCCAGGGTTTTGAGCTGTGAAAGGATGCCTGTGTTAAAATACTCTGTTTGTTAGGATTGTCTTGGGGGATGGAATCTAAAGCCAATGTATGTCCTCACTGGAGCTAGTAACAGAGCCCAGTGGAACCATCGGTGAGACCACAATGTCAGGAGAGCCCAATTCAAGGAAAGGCTCTTGAGATTTCTGTGAGAGTCCAGGTTTTTATGCAAATCATGGCATAGTATGCATAGAGGTAACTTAAGAACCACCGTATATATTGTTGAGGTTTATGGATCAGCTTACTTAAGACCCTTTTTTGGATTTTCTACCTTTGATAGATATCTCTATCTTCAAACAGCTTTCAAATAAACCTATAGTTGTCAATACAGTTAATGAATTTTGGTTGGTTTTAGGCCTCAGCCTTGAGGCTGGGAAGGTGGCCTAGCTGTATAATATGTGCCTCTCATGCATGAGTCCCTGGGTTGGATTCCTCAGCACTACGTACACAGAAAAAGCCAGAAGTGGGCGCTGTGGCTCAAATGGTAGAGTAGTTAGCCTTGAGCTGAAGAGCTCAGGGCCAGCGCCCAGGCACAGAGCTGCACGACTGACCAAATAAATAAATAAAAAGGCCTAAGCTTTTACCCCAGTCTTAGTTAAAGCTTTAGTAGACCTGAGGACATAAGCCAATGATTTCCTTTATTAAGCACTAGAAAGCAATAGAAATAGAAAGAGGAGGTTACAAATAGGAAAACTATTTTTTATTTAAAATTTTAACCACTGTTCAGTTGAATTCTGCTTTTCTAACAGAGGATTGCAGCCATCAGAATTCAGATAATCCAGATTTTTTGTTTGTTTTAGTTGATCTCCAATTGATAAAATGAAACTTCTTCAAAATAAATGTCTTTCTTAGCTATCTACCTGCTTGGTCTCAGAACCAGACTTCTCTACAGAGTCCAGTGTGTTTAAATCTTCAAAGAATTGTATGTCTGAATAAATTAAATGTCTCTCTACATGCTTTACAGTGGTAGCATTCTATGAAAAAAATAAAAAATGAGTTGAAATTAGGGAGTTATTTACATCTGGCTTTGTCCTCTGGTGAGAGCATTTGGATTTGAGAGCTTGTGGCATCTTGCCAATGACAAATGGAGGCGCTGAGATTGCCTTCCCATCATACGCTACCTTTTATGGTGTCCAGGGATTTCTTGCTCTCCTCTGTGACCCAGCTGCAAGACAGCTGTTGTTTGGATCCCTGCCCTTCTACTCTCACAAGACACCATCCTAGCTATCCCCAGAGGGTTTAAACTTCTGCAATGCAAGGGTCAACACTGAGACCGATGACGCCAAGCAGCACCCCATACTATTGCTAAATGGTGTGGATAAAGTGATCTAATGAATGCTTACTGTACTGATCATGACAAAGAAACCACACTCATTGACCAACAGCCCATTGGAATTTGTTGCTAGTAGCTAAGATTTGAGGGTTTTGTCTACACTAAATTATTATTGTTGTTGTTTTGCCAGTCCTGCGGCTTGAATTCTGTGCCTGGGCTCTGTCCCTGAGCTCTTTTCATTCAAGGCTAGAATTCTACTACTTGAGCCACAGCGCCACTTCCAGCTTTATCTGTGGTTAATTGGAGATTAGAGTCTCAAGGACTTTCCTGCCCAGACTAGCTTCAAACTGTGTTCCTCAGATCTCAGCCTCCTGAGTAGCTAGGATTATAGGCATGAGCCACTGGTGCCTGGCCATGCCTTTCTTCTAAATACAGGAGTTGTTCCGTTCCAGACTTCTAACTCAGGTGCGTTCTGCTGTCCTTTGCCTGTTCTTCTGCCTTACCTTTACCCCTTTGTTTCCCACTCACTTGGAACACCATGAAGTGTTTTAGTGTTCCTGTCATAAGCATTCCTTTGTTACATTTCTACTTAGAAATGCTGGGTTTTGTCATTCAATACATTGATCATTGCATCTTTTAATTTTTAGATCAAGCATCAATTATTTTGGAAGCTTTTTCTGTATACTCTGACTAGGGTCAAACCAGCTGTTTTTAGACCCCTTTGTGGTGGTTGTTTGTTTTTGTTTTGTTTTTCATACAGCAGCATTTTGTAAGCTTCATCAGAGCAGTTGTGTCTGCTCTTATAGTCCATTTTTGTAAATCTCATTATCACAGTACTGCTTACCTGGTATGTACCCAATCAATATTTCAAGAGTTCAAAGAAGCAATGAATAAATTTAATGAATTACTCATTCTTTAAAAATTAAAATCAGTTTGATATTTTTATTTTTTAACTCACTTGCTTATTTCTAAGACAAACTGCTTGCTTATTTCAAAATTTGGTGTGTTTTAAAATTCAAAAATATTTTCCTAATTTTAAAGTAGAAGTTGTTTTAGGGTATGTTTACTTGTATTTTGCTTGAAAGTGGGAGAAAAAGGAGGGAGGGGTTACAATGTTTGACAAGAAATGTACTTACTACCTTATGTATGTAACTATAACCCCTTTGTACATCACCTTGACAATAAAATTAAAATTTAAAAACAGCTGATTCGATCAAATTTTCTTCTTGTTTCATCTTAGCTTCTTCAGACATTTTAATGAAATTTCTGAGTACTTCCTTATCAGCTAAGAGTTATAAATAATGAGATGTTGGTTTTGACTTGACTTCAAGTTCAGTATAGCAATACAATATAACAGCCTAATTAATTTGTCCAGGTGAAGTTTTAAATGTGACTGTATCTGATCAAATTAATTCTCTCTAATGAAATGTTATTAGAATATATGTGATGGACTCTTCTAAGCTTAAAGGTAAAATACAGAAATGAGCAGATGTACAAGGGAATAATAATTATAATGAGAAACCCAAGTAATCTAAATAACTCTAGTTCTGTAATAGTTGTCTGTTAACTTTTTTATGTTTGCACTTTAAAATACAGTTTTGTTTTAATCTACATATAGCATATGGAATATGCAAATAACAGTAGAAAAATTGGAGTTGTGAATATTATATATATATATGCATAAGACAAGTTATTTACAACTTAAAGTAATCTAGTATATTTACATTTATTATTGCTATTTAATTATTTTCTACTTTTTAACTGAAAATATTACAATGGTAATATATTAAGGTGAGGATTTCCCTTTTGATCTATTTTCTGTGTTTTCAAGGGTCGTAAGAATGAGGCTGAAAAGTTCTTCTTGAAGGCTATTGAGCTGGATCCCACCAAAGGAAACTGTTATATGCATTATGGTGAGTGTTTGATAGTTCTTCTGTCTCCACCACATTTGCTGCTAACTCTGGTATGAGATTTAGGCTTTCCTCGTACAGGACATTTTGAGAAGAGATTGACATTGCTATTGTAGACCTTTGTCTCATGTTGCTTTCTGCCCTTCCCATTCAAAGTAACTTTCAGTGGCTCTCATTTGGGAAGGCAGTTTTACAGTTGTTTCTTCAAGAGCAGTGTTTAAATGAGGTCTCAGGAAAACGTTTAACTCCTTGCCTGATGCATAGTTTGCAAGAAAAAAAAAGTAGGTTCTTTTTCATTTTAAAAGATAATATATTGTTCCTTAAGCATGCCATTTTGGAATTCTAGAAGTTTACACTTGCGCCTCAAAGTCTTGCTTTCTGGAAGCAAGATGTTCACTAGCCTATAAATGCTTAAGAGTGCAGCCAAGGATAAACTGTCATGGTTGTAAAGAGTGGCTGTTGCTTTCCCTTTAGCCTTGGCCTTAATCAGTCCAGAATGAGCTTACATAACAACCCTGTCACACTCTACTCTATCATTAGTAGTGAGTCATGTGTTTAGTGAGGCACAGTATCCCTGGTTTGGTATTGGGTAAGATATTCTTATTTCTCCTAGATTTATAGTTGGTACTGTTTTCAAGGAGCCAAATTGCATTTTTTTTGACAATCCCTTGGCAGAGAAATGTATTTTTTTATCACTATTGGCTTTGATGTGTTAGTTATTTTGAAGAAGTAAACCTAAAAGTGGATAGAAAATACATCTTAAGGAAATAAAGCTAATATGGCTTTAGAATATTAATGCCATCTCCTAGCATCTAACTTGTGAAAATAAACCAGTGAGAGGCTATAAGGGTGAAAGAATGGAAATAATAAAATGAAGGAAACACTTAGCCAACCACAAGCACTTATATTATTGTATGTATATGTTTATAAGCCTAGGGTTGATGCTTTATCTTTCCAGTGTAGTGTAGGATATGATTGTATACAATGTATTACATAACCACTCCTCTCTTGGCTCTTTTATTGATGTGTTAAGATAGCAGTCAACTAATTTGAGTTTGCTGCACAACTTAATTTGTATGGGTTTTCCTGCATGAAGTATTTAAATTAGGACTTTTTTTCATGCATAATATTTTGAGTAACCCTATGATGTATTATTTTCCCTGAGCATTGAAGAGCCACATGTCATGGCATTTTAGGAAACAGGATTTTTGTTCCTTGCCCTTCTTCTTGTATTTGTTTGTTTAAAACTAATGATACTCATTGTATCTTCTAAGCTTATTTCTAATTATTTTATTATAGAGAATATAGGTATTTTTCACAATGGGTGTCTTTAAAAGTTACTATTATTCCATATGAATGCCAATTGTTTCAACACTGCATTAATTTCAATAGTTGATGCCTTATTCTGCCTGTCCATCTTTAGGAACTTTTATTTTATATTACATCATGTCTCTGAATTTTCTTTCTCAGGGATGTTTGTAGAGAGTATTTTTCCCTTGAGAATTTTGTTTTGACTTAGGAAAGTTCAAGAGCAAGTGCAAGAAATACTTTATCCTGTACATTATTTGGAAAATACTGATAACATATGTCCTTAAATTCATGTTTAAAATTTAATTTTCTCTAGTACCCTTGGAGTGTTTTAATTTTTTTGTCATATGCATGTTATTGGAAGTCTGTTTCTATTCTCAAGGAAGAATGGTTATCTGAAGTATAATTTTACAAATTTTGTGAATTTTTATGGCATTACATATACTTTCTTACTTGGACATCATAGATGAAAGGACTAAAATGAGACTTAGTAGATTTACTTAAGTCACATAAATTAAAAATAGACCAGAAGCTGTATATAAATACTTGGTATTCTTTATTTTTCTGTGCTTTGGTTATAAAGCTACACATTTAAAGAATCTTAAAAATTTTTATTTAATGAATTGATTTTTATATATTGGCATTTTAGTATTAGAAAATTATTTTTCAATTAATATAAGCCTTGTATGGACAAGGAGATTGAAGCCTTGGGCAGTGGGGTTGAATTAAATATGCTAGGTCCAGCAATTATTGTCATTGCTTTATCTTCTGCAACATATAATCTCTTTGTTTACAACATTTATAGATAGGCTGGCAGATAAGCCTCGCTTTTGACTGGTATATCCTTCATGCACAGTTTTAGAGCATCAAATGCATATATCATGATTTAGCTTAGAATGGTTAAAGAACATTTTTTTTTTATTTTCACATTTACAAAATGTGTACACAAGGTACAAGACACTCTTCTCTTTTCAGGAAGTGCTGTGTCGGAAATAAACATGATGATGTTATCTTCAGAATGTAATGAGGTGGAAAGTGCAGTACTTCCCAAGACTAAGTAGCGGAGTAAGGCATCTTTGAGGATATCATTATTTGAAATAGTGGAATGTAAGCCAAGTATTTGAAGAGCCAGGTTCAGACAGAAGAAATAGGAGGTTCAAAGGGTTCAACAGAAAATCAGTTTTTAAACAGAGGATCATTTTATTCTATCTTCCTCTTGAGCCCACACAAAATGGCAAACTTATGTTCATAGAGGAGAAAGAAAGCTCATGTGGCTGGAGTATATTAAAGCAGATGGCAAAGTAGGAGTCGGTGAGGCTACTAGGGGAGGAGAGGGAGAGAGCACACAAGGCGTTGCAAATCCAGCTAAGTAGCTTGCCTTGCTTTCTCTGAGGAATGGCAGGAACCACGTGAAGAAGACAGGATTATAAAAAAGGTCAAAGTAGAGTTAGGCTTACTTCATTCAATATGTTTTTTTTCCAAGTCTTTCCATTTCCTAACAAATGGAGCGCTGTCATTCTTTCTGATGGAAGCACAGAATTCCATTGATATATATGCCACATTTTCTTGATCCATTCATCTACTGAGGGGCATCTGGGTTGGTTCCATATCTTAGCTATGGCGAATAATGCTGTGATAAACATAGCTGTGCCGGTAGCTTTAGTGTGGCCTTGTTTCTGATCATTTGAGTAAATGCCCAGAAGTGGGATTGCTGGGTCATGAGGGAGCTCTATGTAAGCCAGACGCAAAGAAATATAGATCCCATGAGGGTTTCCCTCATTTGCAAAAATTAGCATATGTCTACGATAACTGTCAGATGAGCAGAAAAGCTCAAAAGCTATGTACATATGACTATATAAGATGATGCTAAGTGAAATGAACCCCAAGATATGGACACAAGACATCTTTCTTTGTTGTTGTTGTTTTCAATGTACTATGTGATGTTTTTTTGTTTTCTCTGTATGTTCATTCCCCTATGGCATATCCCCTGTTGTCACTGTCCTTGATTTTGGTACCCTGCATCTTGTATATACATTTATCTAGTTTGGGGAGGGGAAGGGGAATAACAAAATGCTGAAACAAGGTCACAGGATGACCCATTGCAACAATAATACCCACAAGACAGTATATATTGAAAATGAACTTTACAACTTTGGTGAGGGGGGAGGACTGAGGGAAGGGATAGTGGGAGAACAACAAGGGAAGGAGTAACAATGTTGGACAAGAAATGTACTCATTGCCTTACTCATGGAACTGCAACCCCTCTGTACAGCATCTTTACAATAAAATAAAATTTTAAACATAGAGTAAGGCAAATCCTCTCTAGAGCTATTGCTGTATTAGCCAAGAGCTAATGGGGGCTTGGAGTAGGGAGTTATTAGGAATGTAAATATTTATATTAAATTTAAATATTTCCCTCCTTTAGAAGATTCTAAATTAAGAATATGGAAGGATCTGATTTTTATTTCTAGGCCATCAATATCTAGCATATTGCCATACTCACAGTGCTGTGCAATAAATGTTTATAGAGCTCCGTTCTATAACTGAATCCAGGATAGAAAGTTTACCAAAAAGAATGTTCCATTTGAATTTTTATTATTTCTCTCCAAAAAAATGCATACTACGATTATCCTGCCATTTCTTGCCAACTTACTGGTTATAGATATTCTTAGGGTGTTTATACCCACAGATTGAATGAATAAAAACACTTCCTCAGCTTAAAAATAAATATTTAAATGAAATATATGTGTTTTGAGTCTTTTTAAAATGCTTTTGCAAATGCCAATGAAAATGCCAGATGAGTGAATTTTTTATGGCAAATTCACTCTTGGGTGATTATGTGCTTTTAGTTTGCTTGTTAATGATGAAAGAGACATGGAATATCATGCACTTGAGACTAGATAGAGGGGGAATTGGAGGATTATATTGACTGGGATGGTGATTAGAAGATGATGTTTAGAAGGACAGTCATTTACTTGTCATTTGCTTTGAATCCACTAGTTTTATGTCTAGTGGAAGGCATTACATCAGCGATTGTCTTCTTATCCTTTAGACTTGTTTGCAGTTTTATTAAATTGGTTTGATGGGTTACTTAAATGTTGGAATCTGTGGTACCTATAGTCTTTGGAGGTGAAACTAGATGCTCTGGAATTGAGACTAGTCACATTTGTAAATCTAAGAGCTCAGATTTTAAGTTGTCTTTATCAGGTATTCAATTTTTCACTCAATCATTTTTGTGTTGTTGTTTTTTTTACCTTTAAGTAGTTGTACAAAGGAGATGCTATTCAACAAAGCAGTAAATAGGGCTGGAGAGGTGGCTCAGTGGTAGAGCGCTTGCCTTGCATGCCTGAGGCCCTGGGTTCAATTCCTCAGCACCACATAAACAAAAAGAAAAAAGCTGAAAGTGGCACTGTGGCTCAAGTGGTAGAGTGCTAGCCTTGAGCTGAAGAGCTGAGGGACAGCGCCCAGGCCCAGAATTCAGGCCCCACGACCGGACCCCAAAAAACAGAAAACAAAAAAACAAAGCAGTAAATACAATGTGTCATGATCCATGTGATCCTTTTCAACATTCTCACCTCTCAAATCTGTATGAAATAGATTTCCAGCTTCATATTTACCAAATACTATGTCAAACACAAGAACGAGTAGCAAAAGATAACCTCCAATGAAGTGTGGCAAGGAAAGCACAATTTGTA